ACATTGTAGCAATTCCAGCAATTGTAGTTTCATAACTAAAGCTGTTTAAGAAATTTTATGTTCTATCTGTAGTATAAGTAGTGTACTTCATCTCAATAAAAAAGACAAATTGTCTCCTATTTGGTTCGTACTTTTGCACACTTTGTAGTAATCAGGTTATAAATTAGCGGTGATTTTAGCGTTTGTACTTACTGTGATAACGATCTAATGGTTGCAGGAGCATTTTGACAGCTCAACAGAAATCTTTTCAATTAGAGTCATTTTAACGTCGCGGGACTTAATTTGTATTTCAAGCTCGTTGCAAATTTGCTTCAACATCTTCACGCTGAATTTCTTTAGCTCTTTCCGTTGGAAAATTTCACATAAATTAAAGGTATCGTAGATGATGGGGTGTCGAAGTGCAATGTCATTCAGAATAATTTATCTCTCTCSTCATTTTCCTCCATTTCTATTAACTCCTCTGCATCAAGATCATCATCCTCTTGGTCTATACTTTCTAATTGGTGAAGGCCAGCTTGTTTCCTTCTTGCCGCAGTTACTCTGGAGAAGAAGCTTTTAATCTGTGATTTAGACAACCAATCATCTCTTGTAAATCTTCTTTTTCCATCTGCAAGCCTTGCTTTTCTCATTTCTTCCGCAACATTTTTTGGATCGCACTTGTTACCAGTCTTCTCTCCAAGATTATACTTTGCAAGGAGATAGTCTTTAACGTCTTTTGAGAACCGTTTATTAGTTCTNTTTTGATGGAATCTACACCCGCCGTCTCTTCTGTGAGAGGGAGATGAAGCTGGCACTTTTCAACGGTGTGGTTTTTGGAGGTGGACGTGGAGGTGGAGAGCTACATGTGGAAAAGAATTTCCTTATTTCTGCTAGCAGAGGGGAAACTCCACTTTTTCCCTTTACATCTTTCTTAGCCAGAAACTTCAACTCATTTTTGTTTATGACATGGACCTTTCTGGCACTTTTCCAAAATTGTGAACCTGGTACATAAATAAAAGCACATTTATTACTTTGAGTGAGTAATTCATTTTAGAAAAATGTTGTGATTATATAAAGAACATTGGCCTCATCAGACTCACAGGAATACCACCGAAGTCTCACAGCCAACAATACCTGAATTTATACAGGGTAATACATTACAAGCATGCAACAAGGATGATGATGATGATGATGATAATAAATATTTACAAAATTTTGATGGCGATATAACATATAGTTATGTAGTAAGAATAATGCAAACTATTTATTTAAGTAATAACACAATCTTAATAATTATAATATTGCCCCAGATTGAGAAATTTGCATCTTTGGGCCATTTCAGAAGTCAATCTTTTGTCGAGTCTAATCTAATTGTTGTTGGAGTTTATGACCATTTAATTTTGTACTCTGAATTAGCCATTCCGAAGTTCAAAAAGGGACTGGTGACTAGTCACAAACTCCATACAGTTTGAAACAATCAAAACACAGGCCAGGACAACAAAGAGCATACTAAAATGAGTTTAGTTACTGTTTGAGCGTATTCTGATTCTGAATAGCATCCCCAAAAACCATACATTCTCTCATATTTTTTGCAAATAATTTAAAAAAAATCCATCTCTATTCATCTAAATAATAATAATAGTAATCTTTATTCAAATAAAACACACTTAGATTATTACACATTTGTAACTAAAAATAAGAAAAAGTTTTAAAAAGTACAATTTTGCACATTGTTATATAATTTTAAAATTACATAAAATTAAGAAATATAAAACGGCGCGCGTGTCTCTGTCCTCTGATATAAACACGGTGGGAGTTCGAAAAACACGAGAGAAGCAAGCTTAGGAACAYGAGCGTAGCGAGTGTTTCTCTTGCTTCTCGAGTGTTTTTCAACTCCCACCGTGTTTATATCAGAGGACAGAGACACAAGCGGCCGTTTTATATTTCTTTTATAAAATTTTTCGAGCGAAAAGAAAATTTTGCCGGTAAGCCGTGTCTCTGTCCTCTGATATAAACACGGTCGTCAGCCAATCAGAGCGCGCGTTATATATCAAAAATTTTATAAAAGGAAATATAAAACTATAAATATAGAAAACACTACAAAAGACTAATTTGTATATAGTATACAAGAGAGAGAGAATAAAAGTGTGAGATTTCATATCAATTCTATTGTCATTCTTTTCAAATTACATGCGTTTTCACAGGCTATCAATGAAACAAAAGAATATGTTACTTGGTTTTGAGGCTAACACAGAGCAAACCAGAACTCGAAATTGGAGTATTTGGGGGAAAACATGGATTTTTGATTTCTACTTGGCGCAAAGTCTCACATTTTCCCTAAAACATAAATTATAAATAGGCATGTGGGTAGGCAGGCTGATACGAAAATGCGGACAAAAAACCGCGCAGAACGTAAATTAAACTCTATAGATTGCTTCATGGAAAGCGCGCGCGTGCGGCGTACGGCGTACAAAACGCGCTTTCCACGCTGTAATTTATTTATTTCATTCATTAACATGGATTTTATTAAGATCTGTTTCCTAAAAAGCAATTACAAGTAACAAATTTACAAACTTGTTAATGCAACTCGCCGCATCGATGTAATACTTCAATAATACTTTGATAAAGGGAAGTTAAAAGTCAATGTGCTGGGAGGACTATCATCGTTCAAAACTTCGTGTTGATGAAAACGTGTTTTCTGAGGAACTTAGGGACGTATGATAAGATGTCCCTCATAAAATATTGCTCCAGCAAATGGACCTGAACTGCCTGAAGGCAGACCAGAAGTGGAGCTAGACGTTGCCGTGAATGAAGATGACTCGCTATCTCTCCTACAGAAGTTGCACTTTGTGAAACTAAGACTTTGGCTCGCTCWGTGCAGTATCAAAGACATATTTTTTGCTGTGATTAATAGGCTGCAGTAGTTATTAATGCTTTGAACGTTTTGGTGTCCCAATAATTGCATGATATGAGTAGGAGGGACATTGTTGTCGTTCAATTTCTGAATCATTGTTTTCCTGACGCTATAAGTCGTCGCTTTTCATCTAGGCCTSCTTTTTCTGCCATTAATTTTCATCAAACTATTCAGGTTGTTGACTCCTACTGCGCTGGATTTAAACCACGATATAYCTTCGATAAATCTCTCTATTGGTTTATCTAGAGACTTTTAAGATTTAAAAAAATCTTTTTGCATTATCAACACTAATAAAAAGCTGCTGCATGAAAGAAAACTTTACCGTAAGCGGCAAAGCTGCCAGCTCACGTTGACAGGTGCCCTTTGATTGGACGAAACGATTTTTTCACATTTGAGAAAGTCGTTTCACAATCCTGATTGGCTGATTGCAGTCGCGAAATGGCTTTTCACATGGGTTGATTGACCGAGAAAATCTCAAAGTTTAGGATTGAATATTTGCAAAATATTATCACTTAATAATAAGCTAAAGTTTATTTCTACAATAATAAAAAGGTTTACCTGAAGAAAGCAGTTCTACGTTTGCGTTTTAAACATTTAGAATATGGGAATGGCATTGAATATAGTTGCGCAGATTCATAATTGAAAAAGAATTATGTTAACAAATACCTTTTGTAAGCTCATTCTCTACGATAGGCAGGAATTTGCTATCTAAGATCCTAACATCTGTTCCAACTTGTTCTTTCAGTTTTTTTTTGATGGAATCTACACCCGCCGTCTCTTCTKTGAGAGGGAGATGAAGCTGGCACTTTTCAACGGTGTGGTTTTCGTCTGCTTCAATATAGACAAACGCCTTCTTGATTTTTACATTTCTTTATAGGTAGTGAATTGGGGAAACCAAATTCTGCTTACCTCGCAACCGTAGCATAACTTGTTGTTGTAGCAGGAGCAGGAGCAGGAGTATCTGTCTGATCACCTTCGACAAGATAGACGGCCATATCATCCATCTCCTCCACTTGAAACTTGCCATGTTGGTCAGGGAAAAAAATGTTTCTTTGCATGTCTTCAAGATATAGCGTCTCCTTAACAACCTGTTGTGATGAAATACATGTATATGGAGAAAGTTGTTTTAATTTTCCATGTACTTTCCAGTCAGTGTTCCGCAATTCAAAGCTGCAAACAATTTTCTTACCTTGAAAACAGCCGACAAACGGTCTAGGTTTAGATCATTTTCATTTATGTTAATTCTTTTTCCGTTTCGTGAAATGATGAAGTTTTTCCCAAGTCTAAACGACATCGTGCAACCTTGAAATTTCGATGCTTCAAACAGCAAGACTGAAAGAGAAGCAACTGACGCGACGCGGTCTACTTACGAGTAAAGACACGGCGTGTGAACTGATGATAATGATTGGCTAATGCGAAAAAGTAGACAGGGCGTGGATTCCATCGGTGCACCTGACGCCGTCCCACGAACACAGAAAAAAAAAAAGAATAGAGGGAACCATAATAAAAATGGGAATGGGAAAAATGTGTCTGGCTGGATATGGGAAAGGGGAAAAATAGCTCTCTGCGGCAGAGTTATTGTAGCGGCGTTTTTGAGTCACTTTAGTACTAATTTATCATTCAGGAATGACTTAATTTTATCAAATAATAA